CGCTCCAGGGAGTCCCTGCTTGCTTTTTTTGTGAGTGAGGATGAGCTGGGAGGCTCATATTAATTTGTCTTTGCAGTGATTCCTCGGGGTGCCACCAGTGCTGGGTAATGAGCTGCCACCTCCCTCAAGCCAGATCCACCCCTGCTCCCTGAGCCATCGCTTTCTGTCACCAGGCTGTGTCCCCGCACAGGTCACTCGCTGCTCAGTGCAGCCTCACCAGCCCAGCGAGCACTGTGGGGTGAAGCATCCCCAGGGGGGTCCTTCCCCTGCATCCCACTGCAGAGCCTTGCTGGGCTGAATTTCACTGGGTGCCCCTGCTCAGGGAGGTGGTTCAGCCAAAGCCCACCCTGCTGCAGCACAATGAATGGAAAAGGGTGTAAAGGAGAGGTAGCAACTGGCAGGACATAAATCAGAGGGAAAGTGATAAAGGGAGCCTCTTGCCAGGAGGGGCTGGCAGCAGAGGGAGGGATGGCAGTGGCACCGTGAGGCCAAAAGAAATCTTGGCAAGGCCATAAATCCTGCAGCCGCTGGAGCTGCCCGAGCGCTAATGATGAGGTGCAAACGCCAGCCAGGTTTAACAAATATTTCTGCTCTGTATTTGGAGAGACGCGGGATGACACGCTTGAATCATACAAGAGTGATGAAGCCATCTATTAATTACTGCCGGGAATGTTAAACAACATCTGCCAGCTCAGCAGGCCCAGGCACTGCCTGCCCCGGCCTCCTCCAGGAACTGGAGGAGAATTTGGCCCCCTCATTAATTTCCCATGAAATCTTGGAATAGCAAGAAAATCCCAGCTGGGTGATGGAGAGCCCATCCACGACGGGAGCCGCGGGGACACCGGGGTGCTCGCTCCTCACCGCCATGCCTTGGCCACACTGGGATTTATGTCACATTCCCACCTGGTTCAACCTAGTTGATGCTGTGATTCTCCCTGATGAAGAATAGCCATAAACTGGCAAAGGTTGGGCATTTGTTTCCCATAATGTGATTTATAGATTTTCTTTTACCCAAGTGTTTTTGGAGGCTGTAAGAAAGCGAGTGCTCATTAAGGAATCCCATGGAAATCTTCGTCACAGCTTTGGGAGGAGCCAGCATCTTTAAAGCAGGCATCTCCATGGCAGGAAGATGCTAATTAACAAGCTCGCTCTGCACAGTATGCACGGGCTGTGGCAAGCAGAGAGGGACCTGGTGGAGTGATGCATCCCACCAAAGAGTGCACAGTGGGCACTGGGGCTGGCACATCCCTTTAGTGCAAGATCCCAGGACCATGAAAATTGGACCAGTTGGTGGGATCCTGGGCAAAAAGGAGAGCTGGGGATACACATGCAGCCAGCCAGGTTGCACCACTCTGCAAAGCCTCTCCCAACATGGGGGAGCTGGGAGGGATGCCCAGGCTGGGACTGGGTGACAGAGCAGGGAGCATGGCCATTGTGGGGTCACACTGGCCTCAGGGACAGAGGCAGGGATAGGTGCTGGGTTGGTTCTGGGTCTTGCTGGAGAGGCTTTTGGCTTATTATCTCTTGGTCCCTTTGCACCCAGAGGGGATGGGCTTGGGGAAGATTGTCTTTGGTGAAAAATCACGAGATTTATCACAAGCAAAGCTCCTGCAGCTCCTTCTGTGAGGTGCCAGGACACATGCGGATCATTTTTCCCACCCTTTTTCCACACATAAAAATGCTATAATTTTCTTCCCTATAAAAGCCAAAAAGCAAACATAGTTGCAAAATACTGGTGTGCTTCAGCGTAGAGAAGAACACCCAGGGGAGGAGGGAGGCCCAGGGTGCTCCGTCCCAGCCCCAGTCCTGTAACACCTTGCATAGCTGGGGGGCACAGGGGGAGTGGGACAGATCTGGGGGTGCCCAGGATGGACAGAAAGTGACAGACCCCAGTGGGACAGTGCCACCCATCCATCCCAGCAGCAGCAGCTCGGCTGGGTGCCAGCTGGGCCACCTGGGAGCCCAGGGACAGGTAGTTAAAATTCAGAAATGTCAATTTAAATTAAAACGTGTTTCAGAAAGGAGAGAGATAAAACCTTCCCTGCAGCGCAAGGAGCTGGGGGATTTATGGGGTACTGGGAGGACCGGCGCCCCCACTGCAGTGGGCTCAGGGCGAGCGGGGGAAGAACTGTCTTGGCTGATGCTGCTGGTGCCACAGGGCACCCCAGGCACTTGCCTGGGTGTGGGGGGCACCCACCCCCTCCCCACCCGCTGCCATAGAGGCCAGGGCTGTGTCTGCACTGAAATGTCAGCTCGCTAATAAAATGTGCAGGAGCTACGTTTTCTTTGGGCCAATAAAACTCCCTGGTGGCAGCAGGGATGCAGCGAGCTCCCTCCTGCTCAGCACCCTCCCCACCTCCCTGGGGGGACACAGGGGCCCGTCTGACCCCACACTCCTGCCAGCTCCCCCAAAGAGAAGATGTTGGGAGCAGGCCCCAGCACACAGCTCCAGAGCAGGGAGTAAATCCCCTGCGCTGTGTCAAGGTAAAGTGACAAAACACTGGCCTGCAATGCGGGAACCACAGTTATAACAAGAGAAAATCAATGCGATATATTACCAGGTATATAAAGACGCCATTAACGCTTCAGCGCAGAACCCAGCAGATTCACCTGCCATCAGTGCTGTTAGGGCTCCCCGTGGTCCTGTCTGACAGCCTGGGTCACCCACATGGGGCTCAGCTCTGCCCCACAGGCAAAGATCTCCTGCTCCCACCAGCTGGCCCCTGGGCTTTTGCGCAGTGCCTGGTCTCCAGCTGGGGATGTGGTGGCCAGGGCTGCCACGGTCGGAGCAGTGCATGGCCAGTCCAAGGTGCAAGGATCCAGCAAGGCTGCAGCCCCAGGACAGGCAGGTGCCACCCTTCCTTCTGGGGCTCCTTCACCGGACTGCCAGTGCTGAGTCCAGAGCACTGCAGCACCTCCTGGGTGTGATTAAAGAGGATGACAACCCCCATGTACCAGGGAGCGGGGCTGCAGAAGGAGGTACGGAAGGTGCAGTGCTCCCCTGGCATGGCAGCTGTGGGCAGGGAGCAGTATGTGTCATAGAATCATAGCATGGTTTGGGTTGGAAGGAGCCTTAAAGTTCATCCAGTTCCAGCCCCCTGCCATGGGCAGGGACACCTCACACTAGACCAGGTTGCTCAAAGGCCTGTCCAACCCGGCCTTTAACACTGCCAGGGATGGAGCATTCACAGCTTCCTTGGGCAGCCTGTTCAGTGCCTCACCACCCTCACAGTGAAGAACTTCTTCCTTATATCCAATCTCAACCTCCCTTCTTTCAGTGTCCTCAGGGCACATGCTGGGGACATGAATGCTGGGGACATGCCCTGGAATGCAGGGTGGGGACATGTGCACTGGGGGATAGGTGTGCTGGGGCCATGAACACAACCCCCTGCACAACTGTCCATCACTGGGGACAGCTTGGATAATTCTGAAGAAGTTGAGTCAAGTTTCTCTTAATTGATTAATCAATAACTTTAATTGAGTTGAGACTCTCTAACAGATAGCTTCAGCACTGCTCTCCCTCTCACTGCCACTGCCCTGACCTCCCACCAAAACCCCAGTGTTTTGGCTGACTTCTGCCAAGGCGGTGCTGCTGTCAGGCTCTCCCAGAACCAATTCCTGGGGCTTGCGGGGGGCCAGGGAGCTGTTCTGCTGCAGTTACAGGGGAGCTGCACCATGCGAGATACCAGTGAGAGGCCCCAGGACAGGCTCAGCACAAGGGGCTGCAAGACATCCACAGCTCACAGTGCTACCTCTGCCAGTCGCAGCACAACCCCTGTGCGCCCATGGGCTGGACAGAACACGCACGCCGGCCCTGCAGGCTGTGAGCTGTGGCTGGAGGCGCGCAGAGCACACGGGACAGGGGCTGGGGACAGGCAATGCAGAAGCCGGACTCCCACACACTGGAGCCACAGCTCTGCAGAAGTGGAGATGAATGTTTTATGGTAAAATATGCAGAGCATGGGACGAAAGAGAAAGCGTTTCCTGCATAATGAGACACTGTTAGACACAAGCTCCCCAGGAAACCAATTAATACGGTGCTTTGTGGATGTCAGGCCAACACCTGGCAGAAACACCTTTCCCATGGAGGACGCCAGCAGCGCCGTGCGGCAGCCACACACACACCCCCCGACGAAGACAGCAACCCGACCGGTGTCACAGGCAGCGCGGGCCCGGCTCTGCCTGCTGCCGTGCGGCGTGGAGCCGCCGACCCCCGGCACACCGGAGCCACCTCCGCGCTGCACGCTGGCAGGCAGTGTGTGTGTGGGAGCCGTGAGGGGCTCACCCCGAGCCCCGCTCCGATGCCGCGGGTAATGGGCGCTGCGAAGGGGCTGCGCCGGGGACACCCTCCACGCGGCGGCGCGGGAGCGCGCCAGCTCCGCCCCGCTCCTACCCTGCATAACCCCGCCCACACCCAGCCGGCCCCTCCCAAACCCGGCTTAGCCCCGCCCATCGCAGCATGGCCACGCCCCATCCCGGGCAGCGCCGCCCGTCGTCTCTCCCCGCCATGGCGCTGCGCTTCTCCGCCAACCTCTCGTGGCTGTTCCCGCAGCTCCCGGCGCTCCCGGCGCGGCTGGAGGCGGCGGCGGCCGCGGGGTTCGGGGCGGCGGAGGCAGCCTGGCCCGCGGACTGCCCGGCTCAGGCTTTGCGGGCCGCGGCGGAGCGGGCGGGGATGCGGATCGTCCTCCTCAACACCCCGCCGGGTACCGCCGCGTCCCCCGGGCTGCGGGAGGCGGGGGCACGGGGGTGCCCCGGTGCCGCTGATCCCTTCCCCGCTCTCTCCTAGGGGACCAGGAGGCGGGCGAGATGGGTCTGGCGGCCGTGCCCGGGCGGCAGGCTGCCTTCCGGCAGGGGCTGGCCGCGGCCGTGCAGTACGCCAAGGCGGTTGGCTGCCCCAGGTAGGTGCCGGCGGGACCCCGCTGCTGCGACGCCTCGGCTGCTCCGACCCGCGGCACCGGAGCCCTCCCCTGCAGTCCTGCTCTACAGCCTTCCTTCTCCAGCTTTTCTCGCTAGCGGAGCTCGCCCTTTGCACTGCTGTGCCTGCAGCCCGCCGGGTCACCGAGCCTCTGCAGGGCCGCGTCGGGCTGGGCCCGTTTCATTGCAGACCCCTGGTTGCAGTGCCACAGTCTTAAATGTGCTCCCTGGGAGCTGATCCAAAGCTGCCAGGCACGCTTGGCTGACCCTGCCCTGTGCCAGTCCCTGTGATAATCCTCCCTTTTTTCTCCCCAGTCATACCAATCCTTTCCCCGAAGACACAACAGTTGCTTTATGGATTACAGCACAGCAGAGACACTGTAAGAGATGCAATTAGTCTGGCACAACCCCCTCCAGAGAACTAACGTGGCCCTTTGATTCCATTTACTTCGCATCATTCTTTCTCTTAGAAACACAGTCCAAAGCTGGCATGGGCCAGCAGGCAAGGGGTTACCCAGACCCATTTACGTTCTCTGGTAACGGGCAGTTTGAAAAGGCTTTTGTTTGCAGTGTATGCCTCACCCAAATGGTGCCGAAGAGCCTTGCTCCCCCCAGCCATGGATCCTGCATGCAGCCTGGCATAGCCCGGCACTGGCCCCTATCCCATCCCTGATGTATGCTTGCCGCTCATCACAGTGGCTTCAGGGCAGCCCCAGGAGCAAGACCCGAAGTAAGCTCCACTCTCAGGCTGAAAGAGTTGGAGGCAGCTGGCAAAAGAGGGAAGAACCAAGGTCTACAACGTGTCAGGCGAAAGGTTCAAAGAGGTCCCTCTCCATTCTGGGGTGGGATGGTTTGTGTTTGTGTCCCTGCAGTTTGCGGGCTGCCTGTTGTGCCTCCTGCATGGGACATGGCTCCTCTTACCCCCTTCTGTGTCTGCCCTCTCAGCCTGGCCCCGTTTTCCATTGGCAGAGGAAGGTGTATTAGGCCCAACCTGCTGCCTGGATAGTGGAGCTGCTGCCTGTGGCTGATCTCTGTGTCTGCAGGATCCACCTGATGGCTGGGCGGGTTCCCCAGGGTGCAGACCGGGCAGCAGTGGCAGTGGAGATGGAAACCACCTTTGTTGAGAATCTCAGATATGCGGCTGACCTCCTGGCCCAGGTAAGTGGGGAACAGGTCCTGCTCCATGTGTGCAGCTCTTAGGTCACCAAGATGGAGAATCCCCCACCTGCCTGGCAATGGGGAAGGAGCTCTTGCTGCTGCCGAGGGGACAGGTATTCTGTAGTGTGACATTACCATGTTACAGGAAGACATGACTGGACTGGTGGAGCCTATTAACAACCGCATCACTGACCCTCGTTACTATCTGAACACCCCGCACCAAGGTACATCTCTCTCCAAAGTCTCTTTCAAGGGAAGAGAAGGATCCCCCAGGTCTGAAAGGCAGGCGGTTGCCTCACCTGCAGGGCGATGCTGGGGGAGCACAGTTAATGAAGGAAGGGAAGGTCTCAGGGCTTCACCATGAAGTTTCCAGCCTGGGGATGATGGTCTCTCATTTCTTGCACCCTTAGCTGCTGCCATCCTGGAGAAGGTGGGACGGCCCAACCTGAAGCTGCAGCTGGTGAGTGAGCATTGAAGATCTCCAGGGTCCATCCTCCACCACAGAACCTTACACAAACGCACTAGGGAGTCCTAGGGGATATAGGCTTGTTATCCCCTCCCGGGGATATGGGGAGTGACAAGGACCATAAGACAGCCATCCTTGACTGCTAACTGCTGAACAGCTGCACCATCTGTCTTCTCCTCCACAGGATCTCTTTCACTGCCAGATCATGGATGGGAATTTGTCACGCAACCTGGAGACATTCTTCCCACTCATTGGTAATGCCCAAACTGGCTCCTCTGTGTCCATAGGGCAGGAGTGGCTTGGAGATGGGACCCTCCTGCCCCACACTCTGCTACAGCTGGCTGCAGGCACCAGACTGCTCTTGGATCACCTCATCACGTGCCTAAGGGAAGGCGGCAGGCAGGGCTGCCTCGGACAAAGCATCTCCCATTCCCTCCCTAGGTCATATCCAGATTGCACAGGTGCCAGGGCGGCATGAGCCCGACAGCCCTGGGGAGCTGAACTTCCCCTACATCTTCCAGCTCCTGGAGTCCCTTGGCTACACTGGCTATGTGGGGTGCGAGTATGCTCCAAAAGGTGAGTGGACCTGCAGGTGGTCTGAGCCCCATGGGCAGGTCGCAGTACGGACCAGCTGGCTTTGTACAGTGTGCAAAGACAGGCAGACTGTGGGCATTAGAGTCCCTGCCTGGGGATGAGAGCCCTACCCGGAGCATAAGCTGCTCCATCTTGCCTGGGGGTGCCAGCAGGAGACTTTGTCTGTCACTGCAGGAGACACCTTGGAAGGTCTGGGCTGGCTGCGGTCATACTGGGAGAGTCGAGGGCTGCAGCACTGTGGGACCAGCAAGGCAACAGAGTAAAAGGAAACTGCTGGAATAAAAGTCAAAGCAATAGCTTGGCAGAGGAGCATGTCTCTTCTCTTATGACTAAGGGGTGGTGGTAGGTAGAATGATTCCTAGGGCAGTGTTAGGTACATCCTGTTTCCCTTCCCCAGGCCCTACTGGGCCAGCCCAAGCAGCTGGACCTTCATCTACACAAGTACCATCTGCAGCATGTCATATCTGGGGGTGGCTTGGGCATCACTGTAGGTGACTCCAGGTACACAGAACTTTTACTTCCAGTCTGCAGGGGTATCCAGGGAGAGGTTGCCAGTCTCCCTTGCTGAGGGGAGCATTCACTCCTAGGGAAACATGCAAGTTTTCCCAGTCCAGCTCCAGCTGGTGCCTGGAGCTGTGGGAAAAGGACTCTGGGCTTCCAAGTCCTGCAGTTCTCAAGGCTGGTGCCAATGCCCAGCACTGTCCCTGCAGCAGATGGGGAGAGAAGCAAGTAGCCTCCTCCCAGGCTGCCTGAACCAACGTAACAGGCTGGGGGCTGCCTGCCCTGCTGCTCCTACTCCAGAGCAAGTATGAGACTCTAGAGCAAACCCAGCCAGTCCTGCAGCCAGGGTTGCCTCTGCATTCCCTATGGGAGGCTTTCCACATCCTAGCCTACAGCATAAGAGTGGGAATCTGGTTCAGTTTATTTCACAGAGACATCAATGGCTTTAATGTACATCTCCATCAAACCTTCCCCTGGTCCAGTTCACACTTCCTGTCCCCTTTAGTGCTCTCCTGATGAAAGCAAAGGGACAGAAGTGGGCAGCCTCACTGCTCAGAGCCCTGAAGTCTTTCCACCTCAAGTCAGAGCAGTGTGCAGTGCTGCCCTGTGCAGAACTGGTGCTCTGTGTTCTCCTCCGTGCCTTCCCGGCAGGCAGAACTCACCTGCAGATGCCAAAGCTGTGTCCCTGAGAATCTCTCTGCTTCAGCCAAGCCACAGCAGCCAAGCTCCTGTCCTTGCAGTTCAGTTCAAGGTCATTCAGTCTCAAATCCACTGACAACATTGCACTGAGGGCCACACCAGCCAGCCAGCGACGCATGGAGGTGCATATCCCCAGGCTCCTCAGCTCAACACCCTTGCATGCCACCAGCAGTGCTGCCTGCGGTGCCAGAGCCTGTTCTTCCCCATGGTGACCCATGGCACAGCCGCACCAGGAGGTGCGGTACATGTGTTGCTCGAGGATGTGGGTGCCAGTGCTAGAGCAGGCCTGTCCAGAGGTTGAAGCAAGCGGTGTTGATCACCGACTCCAGGTGGTGGTATGTGGACACAAGCTGTGGCAGGGGGCTCTCGCTGTTCTGGGGCTGCACTGGGAACGGCTCCCGGAAAACCACGGTGAGGCTCTGCTGAGAGGGAGGAACAGGTCAGGGGAAAGATTCAGGCAAGCACTGTGCAGGCACTACCCCAGGTGCATGGGCACTCTCTTTTGGTAGTGCCAGGCAGGTACTAGGACAAATCCTAAAATGCCAATGGCACTGAGCTAGCACCTCCTCCTGTGACAGAGCATGCTTGAGCCTCTTCCCAAATTTTCTGGAGAAATAAGATGCAAGGACTTGCCCACTCACTCTCTCCCAGCCCCCATGCATCTACAGTTATTCCACCCCCAGCAGCAGCCTCGGGAGAAGAGGGGATCCTACTGCCTCCACAATAATAGGGGCTTCCAGGGAAATCAAGAGGGAAATTTCTTCTCCTAAGGCAAAGAGTAGGAGTGCAACAAATGGGGAAGGGGAGGAGATTAAATGTAATAACTGCAATCCTAAAAATAAATGCTGGCTGCTCCATTCTGATCAGTGACTGTACCGACAAGGCAGGGCAAGGGCAGAGGGGAGCAGAAAACAGGGTTCAGAAGAGAAGGTTGCAGGAGCTGACACAGAAGAAGAACATGAGTGATGTGGTGTGCTCAGATCACCAGCATGGAGCCAAGACACAGAGGCTGGATGTTCTCCAGAGCTGAAACACAGCACACAGAATCAACTAGCTTGGAAAAGACCTTTAAGATCGTCAAGCCCAGCCGTCAGTTCGGGACTGCCAAGCCCACCACTAAACCATGTCACTCAGGGCAAATTGATCTCCCCTCAAGATCCCCCCCATCCTGATCTCCACTCATAGCCACCCCTCATCTGCCCCTGCTCTCGCCTCACAATGTCCCCTCACAGCTGCCCTCCCGTTCCCCCCATTGGCCAGCTCTCCCCTCACGATCTCCCCTCACCCCTCATGGCTGTCCCTCCTATCCTCTCAGGATCTCCCCTCACAACCACCCCATCTCTCCCCTCCTGAACTTCCCTCACTCCTCATGGCCACCCCTGATCTCTCCTCATGAACTCCCCTCAAGACTGACCCTGCTCTCTCTCACAATCACCCCTCATGTCTGCCCCTCCTATTTTCTTAGGATCTCCCCTCATGACCGCCCCTCCTATCCCCTCATGATCTCCCCTCATGGCCACCCCGCTCTTCCCAAGCAGCCAGGATCCCCTGACAAACTCAATGCCGTGAGAGCAGCTATGTAACTGCAGAACAGCAAATGCACCACCATCATTTAAGAGGGAAGAGAAGGTGATTTGTGAGCCTAACTCCAGCATTGTGCAAGGCTTTAGAGCAGGCTCAGAGAGGAAGAACCACGATGAAAATGCAGCTCTGTTTTACCAAAGTGATGTGCTAACATTAGAGTTCTCTTTGATAAGGTAATATTTCTGGACAAAGGAATCATGGTTATCTTATCTGAACTTCAGGAAGAATTTGATGTGGTGCCACATGGGAAATTTAGGTAAGCTGCAAAGATAGGGATTAACACAAAAATTATAAGGTGAAGATGGTAGCGTTGAAAGGGGAGGAAGGAGGTTGGAGAGAGGTTACAAATGGGAGTTCTTCCAGAACACGTTTTGGGACTCATGCTGCCTAGTACTTTAATGAGTCTGGCACAGAGATGAGGAGCGTGCTGATAAAGTTTGAGGCACTAATACAAAAGAGGACTGGGATGATGCAAGAAAAGCCCTAGAGGCAACAGGAATGGGACGAATATTAAATGCAAGGCAAGGAACACAAAGGATTTCTGCTGTAAGACTGGCGTCATTGGGAGAGGTGATTGAGGGTGTGGTGTATCACATCAGTAAGCACAAAATGACACTATGACCTGTGAGACATGACCATGAAAAGGCAAATACCACTCTAGGATTTACCAGAAGCACTGTGCAGGGACAGAAAAGCCTCAGTGCAATTGCTGAGGGCTCTGCTGAGATTCCTCAGGAATACTGGGTGCAGTCCCAGATACCTATATTTATGAAGGCTGTCCTGAGCCCTGACAGGCTCTGAATGACAATAATGCCACTGGGGAAGGGAGGCTTAAGAGCTCATCTTGCTTAACATAGCAACATGGAGTTAGCAAAAATTCCACCCTTAGATGCAGAGATGAACCTCAGGTACCAGGGTAGAAGCTGGTACCTGCACAGTGAAGAGCGGTTTCAGCTCTGAGCTACCACTGGCATGAAGAAGATAGAACTGGCCAAGACAAAAAGCTGCAGCAAAAGATGGGAAGAGCTCTTCACTATCACGTGTCAGGAGGCACCAAGCAGCCTTCCAGCAGACACCACCTCCTCTGTTGCCCCTTCCTGCTTTTAAGATGGAGAGTGATTTATTCACAAAGGGATCAGTTACACTGCACAAGCCTTGCTTGAACTCAGGTGTCTGTAGATCCCCTGCACTCACGTGAAGCTGCACACCCTGGGATCCATCCTGCACCCTGCCTGGCACCGTAGCTGAAAGCAGAGTATTTTTTCCCTCAACTCCAGTGAAGACCAAGGCCTGTGCAGATTTGCTGGAACCCTTACAGTGCAGGTCCTCTTCCCTTCTGCCCAGGTAGGTGCAGCCCACAGCTCTGGCAACCTCTCCCAGCCAGACCCAGTGTGATCCGGCTTTGTACTGAATATGGGAGGACTCTTTAGTCTGGACAGAGGGACAGCTGAGAGCATGATCCAAAAGCAACCTTGTGAAATAAAAAAGAGGATCAACTGCTTACTGTTTTCCAGTATAAGAATAAAGAGGATTCACATGAAAAGAGCCGAAGGAGCTTCAAAAACAATTCAAGGACTTCACCTAGACTGTAATTGTTCTTGGAGCTGCAGGTCAGAGGAAATCACAGATGTCAGAAATTAACCAAAGGAAACAAATCCATGGAGGACTATTAAATAAATGGAAATGCCATTTCTAGCTCAGGGTGTGCCTGAGCCACAGACTGTCAGATGTTGGGACAGTGTTTAGGAGAGGTATTCCAGACTTCCTGACTTTCCTCATGTGCACCTGCTGTTGGCTACTGCTGGATGAATCTAAACAGATCTCTGTCCTGAGCCAATACAGCTGCTTTTATGTTCCAAAATTCTTACCGTCTTTCCTGAATGGGAATCAAGAAACACAAGAACGAAGCAATCCGTGAACTTCTGGTTGAGCACGACCTGTCAGGAGGACCACAGCACAGGTTGGAAAGAAGACAGTACTACAAACTGTCCCGTATCTCCAGGACAGGGATACAAACACCCACCCAGGGACATGCTAACATGCAGGATGAGTGGCATGATAGAACCTTGAAGATGAAAGTCAGCCTGGCTCACAGGTGACACTGCCCGATCATGGGGATACACATGGCATAAGGCTCTGCAGGTGTAGTGTCCCATCTGCCTGGAGGCAGGCAAACAGACACTGCTGTACCACAGGAGCACACACTTCATGCTGCATCAGTATCAGAGTAGAGAGCAACATCATGATGGTGCCCATGTCATCCTAACAGCACATGCCAGGCTCACACAGGAAGCAGGGGCTCTGCACAGGGGAGAGAGGATGCAGGTAGGTCATGGGCTATGTCTTACCAGATACTGGGTGCCAGTCTCAGCGTTGTGGAAGTGCCGGCAGCTCTGGGGAAAGCGGCTCAGCAGGACTTTGATAAGGCTCTGATACCAGGAGACGGTCATGGTGAGGAAGCATTCCTGCAGGCATGGAAAAGGGCTGATTTCAGCTTCCCTCTAGCCATGGCACCAGCAG